CCCCAAAACCCCAAAACCCCAAAACCCCAAAACCCCTTTTAATAGATAAAAAATTGAACTAAGTAGTATTAAAATGATTTTGCCTTGGGTTCTCTTTTTCACAGTTTTAGTTACATTAAGTAAGAAGTACTACAAACCTCCAATGAAGAGAGTTGAAGGCAAACTTGTAGAGCTGCCCCAGGATATCCAAAACTACCAATATCATGATTTGGTGTCTATTGTGTACTCAGTAGCAATAATATTGATGTTTACTGCCAATTACTATCTCTACGGTCTTGACCTTGAGAGAGAGGGGACATACTTGGAGAAAAATATTCAGATACTAGGAATGGTGTGGTATACATATGATTTGATCCTCAAATATTTTGATGGAGTTCATAAGATCTTCGTATGGATACACCATCCATGCACTATTATTGCAATTTATGCTTCATACTCATGCAAAGAGACTGTAGCATTTGGAGCAACTGCTGTGTTCATTAACGATGCAATTCATGTGTTTTTGGTCATCTATAGAACTCTTGAGAGTATTAATATCAAGAATTTCAGATATTTGGTAAACTTCTCTTTCTTGGTTGCTGGATTCGTTCTATCAAGAGTGGTTGGAAGCCATTGGTTGCTATACAAAGGAGCTATGTCATCAAAGATCCCTTTCCTAGTAATTCTCGGAAATACTCCAATAATCTGCTTTGGAACAAGGATCTCCATTCAGCTAGCTAGCAAATATTGGAAATATGTCCCTCTTTTCTGAAGTAACCCTGAGACTATCAGACAGACAAATCTTTGGCAGACGATAAGAGGAATGTTCCAGAGTTATAAGAGTGGAGGCACCATGAGCAAGGTGGTTGATACAGCTATCTTTGCTTCCTCCATTCTCATCCCAGTTTCAATAAATCTCTATGTGAGATATGCTTAGTTTCTAAAAATTGTGTTAAAAATGTTGGCTGTGGTTTTGTGACGATTTATGATTTCGCACCAGGTGCAATAATTAAATTTAAGCACAGGATCCGGTAATTTAGTGACTCCTTTTCAATTATGTATCTTTTATTATTTCGGGAGGGTTTTTGAGCCTTATAGGGAGATGAGAAAATAACATAACACTCCTTTAATTCTCAATTGTGTTATGTTTCATATATGAGTTATCTCAGAGATCTTTTCTACATTACAAGTCACTCTTCAAAAAAAGAGCTGACAAGAGACTTTGTTGCATCACTAATAAAACCCAATCACAGTGAGCTTATGAGAATAAGCACCTTTATATCATCATTGCTTTAATACATTTACTACTTCAGACTATGGAAATTAGACATACTTCAAACCGAATTCCGTACAGATCAGATTAATAATATTCAGTTTTCTTGATGACGCAAATTGTATACTTTAGATTAATGAAAGAGCTATTAGAACCAAAAAGATACGGACACTCAATTCCTATCCATGCTTCATAAAGAAAACAGTTATGTTAGAAGGAGAGTTAATTTAATTCTCAAAAATATGAATTGAGGAAATGCCATTTTTCTTGAAAAATATAAGTTAGCACTCCGAACTAGTATTATCAACCAACTTTGCAATTGCCGGGGTTTTGGGGTTTTGGGGTTTTGGGGTTTTGGGGTTTTGGGG